AATGATTGTGAGGTTGGCCCAGGAACAGGCAATGTTTCCTTCTGTTGTGCATAGGGTCACTATGGGTAAGTACAGAATCGATGGCACCTAACAGCCTGAGGTGTGAAAAAAAGAAAAGGTATAAAGTTAAGAAAAGACGTGGTAAGTCACTACTTGAAGACAATATGATTATGTACCTAAAAATTCAAAATATGAATGAAAATTATATTTAAATAATGAACTTACCAAGGTTTTCATGCATACAAGCTCAATAAAAATATCAATTATACTTCTATATGCTATTTTTGTTGTTGCTAAGTGCCATCAAGTCTACTCTGAGTCATAGCCACCCCGTAAAGGGTTTTCAAGGATCAGATGTGGGTTTGAACTGCTGACCTTGCAATTAAGAGTACAGTGCTTAACCTACCATGCAACACTAGGACCCCAAATCAATTATATATGCTAGTAACAAACAAATGAGAAATTAAATATTTTTTGTTGTTAGGTGCCATCGAGTCAGTTCCATCTCAGATATCCTATGCACAGCAGAATGAAACACTGCCCCGTCCTGCGCCATCCTCACATCTGCTATGTTGGAGCCTTCTATTTTACTAAGCATGAGGTCCTTCACCAAGGCCAGGTCCCTCCTGACAACATGTCCAATGTATAGGAGACAAAGTCTCACCATCCTTACTTATAAAGAGCATTCTGGCTGTACATCTTCCAATTGTTTGTTGTTCTGGCAGCCCACACACAGTACTTTCAATATTCTTTGCCAATACCATAATTCAAATGTATCAATTCCTTTATGATCTTCCTTATTCATTTTCCAATTTTCACATGCATTTGAAATTACCATGGATTGGCTTTTTGTTGTTGTTATTGTTAAGTGTCATTGAGTCAGTTCTGACTCATAGCAACTCTGTATAGGGTTTCTGAAGAGTAGCTTGTGAGCTTGAATCATCAACCTTGCAGTTCAAACTGACCTTGTGGTCCAGTGCTTATCCTATAATGCCACATCAGGACTCCATGGATTGGGTTGTTGTTGCTGTTGTTAAATGCTGTCAAGTCGATTCTGACTCGTAGTAACCCTGCATAGAGTTTCTGAGGAGAAACTGATGGATTGAACCACAGATCTTGTGGCTCAAATCGCCTTGTGGATGAATGTTTATCCTACAGCACTACATACTCCATAGATTGGGTTAGGTGTACTTTAATCCTCAAAGCGACATTTTTGCTTTTAAACAATTTAAAGGAGTCCTGGTGTGGCACTGCAGGATAATGCACTGGACCACAAGGTGGGTTTGAACTGCAAGAATGACAGTTCAAACAACCAGCCACTCATCGGAAACCCTATACAGGGTCACTATGAGTCAGAACCGACTCGACAGCACTTAGAAACAAACAACATTGCATTATGCAAATCTGCTACAAAAGACCTTTTGATTTCTTGACTATGGTTTCCATAAGCATTGATTGTAGATACAAGCAAAATGAAGTCAACGACATCTTCAATCTTTTATCCATTTATCATGTTATATATTGGTTCGTTTGGAGTTCTGGTAG